GTTCCACACATTCTCCTTAATTTTTATAACGTAATCCTCTAGAGGGATTTCATTAAATGATTCCAAGGATGTTGTATCTGGCTTTCTTGCCATGTTGGCTGCTTGATCAGCTTGTTCATTAGCGATGATCCCGCAGTGCGAAAGGACCCAAATGAACACTACTTATTTGCCCTTCTCCCTTAGTAGTCACCAAACGTTTCTTACATCTTTTGCGAGAGAGGTTTTGGGCCTGTTATGTTCAATAGCTAGTAACGAACTCATAGTCTGTCACCACTGCCCCTTTGGTAGTTTCACTTGTCTCTATGTGTTTAAGAGCTTCTCTAATTGCTAGCATTTCACCAGTAAATACTGAGCAAGCCTCCGGAATTTTGAAAAGTTTTTGAGTATTAAAATTCATAACGGAACACCCTACTTCCTTATCGACTTTTGAGGCATTCGTATACGAGATGTGACACTCCAAAGTTTCTAAAAATAATTTTTGAACTTCAACTGGAAGTGCCGTATCCTTTTTATGTCTGGAAATTGAGGTATCTATAATTGGTTTGACATTGGTCCATCTGGGAATTATTATATCCGGCACATCCAGAGCATTTTCAATGTTAAGATCCGAAAAATACTCAAGAAGCGTTTCTAAAAAGTTTTTCTCCCTGATGTTACCTATTTCCTCATTACAGAATAATATCTTATTTAGTATGTGTCTTGGGTTAGTCTTGATTTTGAGACCATACTTCGTTGTCATGAAAAATCTTCTGAAGGTTAGAGGAGGTTCACCAGCTTCTGCATATAGACTTTCCACAGGGGAGGTTGGCTATGCCCCAGTACAAATTCTTAATGCAGAGTTGTGTACCACGTCCAACATTCTTTAAGTTTTGCTTGAAGCAGAGCCGTAAACGCTTGAGCCGTAGTCCAATTTGCTTCTAATACTTGCATAGTATATTTTCAATAGGCTTTTCCTATCTGCTCCCCAAGTCGTATGAGAAAGGCATTTTAGTAGGGCAAATCTTTTGAGGCACTCTTCTTTAAGCAGTTTTATATGAATTGTCCATCTAAGCGGGTGATCTAACTCTATTCCCAAATATTTTAGGCTGTTAACGAATGGAATTTCAGCACCACCCATCCGTATTTTTGGATTTAGTGTGCGCCCTCTTAATCTGCAAAAGTACTTGGCTCTAGTTTTGCTAGCAGACAGTACAGGTAAATTCTATGTTTTTATTAAGAATAGTAAAAAAAAATTGTTTTATAACTTCGGGGGGATCAATAGATTTTGCAACAGATTTAAAGGAGAAGTCCAAACTAGGTGTGTTCTTTGCCCAAGGAAATGATGGGTGAGGTGAAGATGTGTAAAACTTGAGTAGCGTGAAAAGTCAAAGAAATTAGGAGTGGTTTTTAGGCGGCCTAGAGTTTATTAGAATAGAGTTAGTTCTACCGATCGAACAACCCTCCTGTATACTAGAAATTGCTAGGGATAGCGAAATAAATAGAATGAAAGATGATGTGATTTGTTGATAGGTATCATGGTACAGTTATTTAAGAGGAGCAGGTTATCAGCCAACTGCTTTCTAGTCAAGTGTAGGGGCTGCCTCCTCAGAGCTTTCTGAATCGAGCGTTCTGAAGTAGCGATTGTTGCTTTATTTGTCTATAGACACTGTGCTTTGTTTCATCCACCGTCCATATTACGATTTGGAGGCTATCGTTTTCTGTGGAATGAGTTTCTTCTTGGTGCTGATTACAAGTCAAAGAACGCAAAAACATAAACGTTGGAGGATGCGCACAATGCTCGCAGAAGGACCTAGGTTCGGTAATGCATTATTGAATAAATTAATACTGGGTTCGGTAGTTTTCAATTAGTATTAAAAGATTCTAGATGACGCGAGACGTCCACGCTGTCAAAATGTTCCCACCATATCCGAGATCCCATTCCGCTCGGGAGACTATAGACCTTGCTATTTTTTGTCTTGCGAACAGACCTGTATTGGTCTCTAGACATGACTACATAGACAAGTCTCAGAGACCTAAATAGTGTAACATGCCTACTTGCAACATGACATTAAACTTAATGTCGGACCGCTGAACCAGTGGTCGGCCATTAATTAGTATAACTAATAATTAATAATTATAGTAAAAAAAAATTTCCTGATTAAACCTCATGCTGGAGAAAGTTTACAAAATAATTCGAAATACGTTCGAGAAGTGTGATCAAATGTATTTTTCTCGGTTTTTATTTTGAAACAGCTAAGAAACATAAATAATTTATTGTAGTAATAAACTTAGAAGATAATATAAGCTTTACCTTATTCATTATTGTAGACAAACACCCAGTAATTCTTAAAAAATTGAACCAGACAGAACTGGATAAATAAATGCCGAAATATACAAGAGAAACATTCTGGTAATTAAAATGGAAGTACAAATAATAATATAGCCGGGAAGAAACGACAAAAAAGGTGAACGTGGACAATACCAAGAGTTGCAATCTGTAGCAGGAAGAAAATATATCCACAACTTTAGACAGCTGATGGTTAACAGCTAGAAGGGTTTCCACTTTATTATTAATGTTGTGCGGTGTGTTCTTCAGCTGGTCGAGGGTGTGCACAACCAGATCGTAGCGGCTGAGGATGTGGCGTCCAATAGCTATGATCTGAGAGCACATGAGGGTGTAACTTCCGACTCCTATGAGATGGAACCAAAAAAATATATTAGGGCTATTTGCTGCACCCAATATAAAATAGAGAGAGCTTATTACAATCATCAAGAACCTGGTCGACCAATTAAGCTGATGCATCTTAAGAACTCCAATGGCAGAGAATTTTGAGTCGATCATCTTTAGCTCTTTAAACAACTGTCCATATTTTGATGCATTTCTGTAGGCATCGATTACTGATGAGATATATAACGCAAAAAAAATTGGTATGTTAATCAGGACTATGATAGAAACTGAAATGTTGTTCAACAACCATAATTTGTAGAATATAAGAAAACCGATAATTACAATAACACATGAAATGATAATCGAATAGCCAGTTAGGACATACGAGAACCTGGACTCTCCCTTCTCGAACACCAGCGGAGACAGACCTAACAAAGAAGACAGTTGGAACACAAGCTGAACGTGAGGACATAACGGAACATCTTCCAATCTCCTTCTTGGTTTCCTCACTCGTATTGATTCCATTTGGTGAGTGATCTCCAAGAAACTGAGGGAAGAATAATTTCATCGACTTTTTAAATTATAGCAAGAACAAACTGACAAAATAATGTCTACAATAACGTCTAATATCTCTCTACCTCTTATTTGATGGATGAGAATATAGTAGAAACGAAAACCTAATGGATTTATGAAATTCTTATACGGCTATCATTGTATCTATTAATGTAATTGAGTTTTATGACCAACAACCTGTGCTCAGAGATATTCAATTTTCGCGATTACTTGCCTTATTGCACATCTATGTAATCTATAAAAAAAAGGAGGTAGAAAAAAATGCAAAAACTACAGAGTAATCTTTGTTACTAACCCTTTTGCAAAAATATTAAAAAAAAATTAAGGGTTCAGGAGACCAATATGGATTTACAGCGGGAACATCGTGCATTATCCACATATTCAAGTCCAAGGTGTTTCCTGAGACATTGAATTAAGGCAAGTCCTTCAAAATGTAAACATTAATATAGGACTGATAAATATATTACAGGAAATGTACAAAGGAAACACCTGCCAGGTCAAAATTGAACCGTACCTTTCTGAGCCCTTTTGCAACAAGCAACGGATTGCTCCAAGGGTGTTGTGCCTCTCCTTCTCTGTTAAAGATTTATCTTGACATTTGTTTTAAGGCATGGAGAATAAAATGTGAACCCTTGGGGATTCAGTTGAAAGAAAAGATTACCCTTTATAACTAATCCTTTGCAGATGACCAAGTCATCATTGCACAGGACGCAGAAGATGCTGGATACATGTTAAGAAAATTAAGTGAAAAATATCAGCAGTGGGAACTACTTATTAATGCAAAGAAAACGGAACACATGACATTCAATAATGAGGATATAGAACTGAATCCAGGAGGGGTTCTAAAAAGAATTAAACATTTTAAATATATTGGTTCCATAATTGAAATAGATGGTGCATGTAATGTGGAAATAAAAAGAAAAAAATCAGATGGCAACAAGACCATATCAATGCTCAACTCGGTATTATGGAACCGGAACATTATCCCCAAAACAAAAAAATATATCTACAATAGTATATTTAGTATATTACTAAGCATTATGATATATGGGTCAAAAGCTTGAACCTTAAAAAGCAACCTCAGGAAGAAACTTCTAGTCACAGAAATGAACTACTGGAGACGAGCAGCGGGAATATCCAGAATGGATAAAGTGATATATACGACCTTCAGATAAGAGATGAGGGCAAACAAAACATTCTGGAAGAGATTAAGAAAAAACACCTTAAATAATACTGACATTTGAAAATAATGCTTGAAGGAATACTACCCATAGAAGTCTATTTATGGAAAACTTGGAAAAGAAGGAGAAGAGGAAGACCTGGGATAACGAAGTGGAGGAATCCATGATGGATCATGGGCTACGGGAAGAATGGAGCTTAGATAGGACATTATGGAACGAAGCATCCAAGCTCTAGTTTAAGGAAATCTACTATTAGTGTAAAATCTTTTAAAAAAAAATACATACGTAGCATTAAGTTGCAGCATAGTCCATGCAATGACTACTATGTCGTGTCGCGTGAAGAAGTCGTTTGGAGGGGTTAAGTAATTGATTTAGTGCTGGAAAAGTCTCGTTGTTACTTAGATAGAAAGAAAAACATGTTCTCCATTAAGATGCAAAAGGTTGTGATCTCGGATTCATGTTAAGACCACATAGCGCTGTTATAGTTTTGTTTGTTTTTAATTTGTTAATTGTTTTCTATATCGTTGGACACATTTTGATAAATAATTAGTGCTATTTTGTGTAAATGTTGCAAATAGATAAATTTGGCCAGGTAGGGGTTAGTTTGGGCCACGTAGTCTTAAAGCCTTTGGAACTTCAGTGCAGAGTGTGGAAAGGGCACATTGAGGAGACGCATAAGAAAGATGGTGAAGAAGAGCGTTTCCAAACAGCTTCAAGACGTAATGCCTAGAACTAATGAGTTTAGTAACTGTATAATCTATAATAAGCTAGACAAAAATTACAAACGATAATTCGAAATACGTTTGATGAAGTGTGCAAAAAAGCATTTTTCTCGGGTTTCGTATATATAAGCAGCAAAGAACCGTTTATATATTATTCAAGTCATAAACTTAGAACATAATAAAAGCTACGTTTTACCTTATTCATTATTGTAGACAAACATCCAATGATTCTTAAAAAATTGAAGCAGACAAAACTGGCTAAATAAAAGGCAAAGAAGATACGAGCGACATTGTGATAAATAAAATGGAAAAAGTATAAAGTATAATAAATTCGAGAAGAAAAGACAAAAAACGTGAACATTGCGAAAACCAAGAGTTGTAATCTGTAACAGGAAGAAAATATATCCACAACCCTGGACAGCTGATGGTTAACAACTAGAAGGGTCTCCACTTTATTATTGATGTTGTGCTGTGTGTTCTTCAGCTGGGCGAGGGTGTGCACGACCAGATCGTAGCGGCTGAGGATGTGGCATCCAATAGCTATGATCTGAGAGCACATGAGGGTGTAACTTGTGAGAACTATGAAATGGTACAAGAAAACTATATTTAGGCCACTTGCTACTCCTAACATAAAATATGGAAAGATTATTACAATCATCAAGAACCTGGTCGACCAATTAAGCCGATGCACCTTAAGAACTCCGATGGCACAGAGTTTTGAGTCGATCATGTTTAGCTCTTTAAACAACTGCCCATATTTTGATGCATGGCTGTAGGTATCGATCACTGATGAGATATATAAAGCCGAAAAAATTGGTATGTTAATCAGAGCTACCATAGCAACTGAAATGTCATTTACAAACCACAATTTGTTGAAGGTAAGAATACCGATAATTACAGTAGCACATGAAATGATAAGTGAGTAAGGCACTAGGACATGCGAGAACCGGGACTCCCCCTTCTCGAACACCAGCGGAGACAGACCTAACAAAGAAGACAGCCGGAACACAAGCTGAACGTGAGGACATGGCGAACCATCTTCCAATCTCCTTCTTGATTTCCTCACTCCTATTGATTCCATCTGGCAAACTCTGTCAAAGGAACTGAGCTGAGAATAATAGCATCGACGTTTTAAATTATAGCTATAACAAACTGACAATATAATGATCAAGGTGACGTCTTATATCTATCTTTCGATGCAATATTGCGATAGGCGATGGATGCGAATATTGCCTAGTAGAAATGCAAACTAATGTATGTATGAAATTCGTATACGGCTATTAGTTTAAGCATTAATGTGATTGAGTTTTACAATCGACAAGCTGTTACCATTAGCTCATACATTTTTAATTTCCACAATTACTTACCATCTTGTATATCTACAGTTCAGTCCAGTCAATCTATATATATAAAAATGAATGTCTGTCTGTCTGTCTGTCTGTTTGTCCTTTATGTATTACTAAACCATTCATCCGATCGCCATGAAACTTTGGGAAGTTGTTCCGTACACTCCTGGGAAAGTTTCTGGCATAGTACTTCTGTCTTACGATAATTGTATATATGTAAAAAAAATAAAAATGTAAATGTTTTTCTGTTCAAAGCCGCAAAAAAAGTGTCGCTATAAACTGTAGCGCCAAAACGGCTTTACCGATTTTAACGAAACTTGGCTAAAGTCTTCCCCTTGAAACACTTTTAATTTATGTGTATAACATACTTGCCCCAAAACAAGCTGAAAAATGTTACGATGAATTCAATATTTTATTTGACAATAACTAAAAAAGTACAGAGTTTTTGACTGATAATACCCATATTTTTATAAAAAATTTCTGAATTGCTGACAAAATAAAAAAAATCATCGAAATCAGACGGTTTGTTGCAGAGTTTTAAACCTTTACCGCTTTCTCTTCAGAAAAGGCCATTTCCTTTTGCTTCCTCACTACCGAATGTAGGCAAGCATTTTTTTTTTTTTTTTTTTTATTGATTAATCGAAAATTTTGTAATTACTACAGTAACAGAAACTATCATTGGAAGAATTTAAATGATTCTCCTTATGTAGGTCAATACTATTATACATTCTTTATATTAATTTTTTATTTTAGTTTTATAAGTTCAACTCAGACTATTTCTGATGATTATAAATAACGGCGTATTCACTCAGATGATTATGAATGTTCAATTTGAATTATGAGAAAAAAAATTATTAGAATTAGTTTAAATTGAAGCCATTTTACAGACAAATTTGTTTCCCAACTTTTTAAAAATGACAGATGTCCTTTGCTACTAATCTACTCATATGTGCTTTCTATTTTCTTTCTTTTTCATTTTGCCAGGCTGAGCCACAGCAGCACGTGGCTGGGTAAAGCTAGTGACCAATAAAAATGAGCCTGTAGAAGTTTTGGGGTGAAGAAATTGATCTGGAAGAAATATTCTCGTTTTCTGTTTTTACTTCGATTTCCTAAATACAGTGGCGTATAAAAAACACGTTCTTTAACTTTTTATGATTCCGACTTGCTGTTAACGCTACATTGCGTATTCATGTTTGTTTGTTTTTTTGTGTTTTTAATATTATTTTTTTTATTTAGTATGTCGTTGGACATATTTGAATAATTAATTATTGCAATTTTTCGTAAATAGATTTATAGGTCTGGTAGGGTTAGGTTGGATGGTGAAGAAGAGTGGTTTCAAAATGTATCAAGACCTGATGCCTAGAAGTAATGAAACAAGAAGTAGCTGTCTGCTCCAAAATGCGAAACTTTTTTCTTTTTTTTTAATTTTTAATTTATTTAATGAGTATTACAACAATGTAAAATAAATAGAAGCAAAATAATAATCAAAAGTATATACAATAAACAATATAATAAAATAATCTAAAAATAAGAAGATTAAAACTAAGCAAAAAAAACACATGTATACCTATATACAATCAGGCGAGGGAACTCCAGGAGGAACTCCCGTGCAACTCTCTCAACCGCATCACTGGTAGTAAAGCCAGCGGAGATTGATCGAGAGCACTTTAGCCACATACACTCATGTCTTGAGTGGAGAATCTGTCCATTGCCACCAATTTATACAATCTACAAAAGATCGCTAGGCCACTGCCGTTTCAACCTTCTTGGAGGATTATAGGGATGGGAGGTGCTTGATAGATATTGTGCAAGAGGATTTTGATGATATGTAAGGTTCTAGTGAAATTTGGAGAATTTTTCTGAGATAAGGTCTAGGGCAAATGGGATATTAAGGTCATGATGTAGGGTTTTGTTGGTTACATAGAAAGGAGCATTGACTATTGTTCGAAGGACTTTTGACTGGATGGATTAGATGCGCTTGATGTTAGAAAATTTTGCTCTTCCCCATAGTTCTAGTCCGTAAGTCCAAATAGGTTTCATTATTGTCTTGTAGATCAGTTTTCAATGGATAGTTTAGATTTTCTGTTTAGTAGCCGGTACAGTTGGCCGTATCGTCGGTTTAGTTGCTGTCTTTTAAGTCTAGTATGAGGGTTCCACGTTAGTCATCGGTCTAAGAGAAAAGCAAAGGTATCGGACTGTATCTGAGAAGGGAAGCTGGATGGTATTAATATAAACTAGTGGACAGAATTTACGAAAAAAGGGTGAAGATGTTTACATTTGGATTCGTTTATCTTAATGTGCCATTTCTTACACCGGTGTTCAATCAGGGAGAGGTGCATTTGTAGGTTTAATGACGCTGTTTTAGGATCTGAGTTGGTTGAAAGGAAAGCGGTATCATCAGCGAATGTTGCCAGGATGGTATCGGGATGGAGAGGAATATCTGCGGTGAAAACAATGTAAAGGATGGGATACAAGACGCTGTCCTGCGGAATTCCCGCCTTAATTAAATGACAGTTGGATAATTCAGTACCACAGCGAACTTGAAAGGAGCGGTCAGAGAGGTAGGAACGGAGTATTAGATATAACGATTGTGGTAGATGGAATTTAAGCTTAAAGAACAGTCCAGCGTACCATATCCGGTCAAAAGCTTGTGCTATGTCAAGAAATGAACCCGAACAGTATTGCTTCTTTTCTAGGGCTGAGGATATATGGTCGACAACTCGGAGTCCTTGTTGGACAGTGGAATGTTGGGAACGAAATCCGAATTGATGGGTAGGAATCCCATAATTTTATGGGATTCTATTATGGTTAGGATTCTTTTCAGTTTGATCTTTTCAAAACATTTTGATAGGATTGGAAGTAGGCTAATTGGTCTATAGGATCATGTATTGTTGGCAGGTTTACCTGGTTTCAGGGAAAGGATGATGGTGGAATGTTTCCATAGAAGATAAAAGTTAGGAGGTCGTATCCAGGAGATTTACGGAGATGAAGTTTTTGTAAGTGGTGTTTGACCTCAGATGGATTAACTGCTTTAGGTGGCAAGGAGAGTTGAATCGGTGAAGAGAGGAATTCCACTTTTACGGTATGGGTTGGATGGGATTCCGGATGTGGAGTGAATGTACTGGAGAGGTGTCTGATGAATTCCTCAATATTTTCATAAAAAGCGAACCCGAAAACATAATAATCGACCCGGATCTTCATCAGACGCTGCCCAGGAGTCATCGCATCGACGAAGGGGATGGGAAATATAATGGGATTTTAGGATTTTTTTGGTAGTTTTCCAGAGGGAATCGTCATGAACAGAGAGAGGAGTAAGGTAGGTATCAAAGGATTGGGATCTGAAGGAAGATAATTTTTGCTTTAATAGTTTACAATAATAATTGTAGGAGCGGCGATCGATGGGGTGTTTGGTTCGTTGCCATAATGATCTGGCACGGCGTTTGGTGTGAATTAGGTCTATGAGGTGTTGAGATAAACTATTTCTCCTTGGGTTTTTGAGGAATTAGTTGGAGAGGAAGCTATCCACACTGCTTGTTGAATAGTGGTGGTGAAGGAATGTACGGCATTGTCAAGGTCTTTAGGGTTAATCTGAGGTCAATTTTTTCAGAAATAATTTGGTGAAAGAGTTTCCAGTTAACTGGGCCTCTGATGAAGGACTGTGGAAAGGGTTTATGAATAGGAGCTAGAGATAATTGGAGTACTAATGGACTATGATCTGAGGAACGTTCGTCAAGTCGGGTAAGGGAATAATTGAGGAGACCTAAACCACTATGGATAAAAAAATCGAGAATATCAGGATTGTGGTTAAGATCAGTTGCCCAGTAGGTAGGTGAGTTGTGAGGAAGAAGGTTGAAATTTTGAGAATTGAGTGCAGACTGCAAGGATCTACCACGAGAATCCGTAGTTCTTGAACCCCATTCTTTAAGTCTGCACCCAGGATGAAGTGCTGTCCTAAGGAGTTAAGGAAAGAACTGAACTGGTCATTGGATATAGATCTCTTAGGAGGGCAATATAATATGCTGATGTTAGGGTGAAGGGAAAGGAGAAGGTTTTGATTACAATGGCGGTGGATTGCAGGAAATCTTGAGTAGGTAATGGGAGTACGTGATGAGACATGGATTGGTGTATAATGACAGCAGTGCCGGCATGTGCTCTACCGTCACGATATGTCAAGTATTGCGGTATTCTGGAGAGTTGTTTATTGGTTATTCGAGTTTCAGTAATAAGTGCCATATCAATGTTCTTGTAAAGTAGTAAAGTAAATAGTTCGTCTGTATGATTTCTAACACCATTCGCATTCCAAAGGAGAATGGATATGGGTTTTGGGATGTGAGTCATTTAAGGATTTTTTAAAGGAGGGATGAGGTGAGATACGAGATTTGTGAGGAGTAATATGAGTGGAGTAACAAGGGATTTGAAATCGGTGAGGAAAGGTGCTAACAAACTGGTGAGATCTGTTGCATTTGAAGGAGGATGAATATGATGAATTTGTTGTTGACGGTTAGGTTTATTAGGATGAAGAGGATTTTGAGGTTGGGGTTGAGGTTGTTGTTGTGGCAGGGCTTGACATTTATAGGTTGAAATCTTACTTCTAAGTAGTTGGGAGAATAATAAATCATTGTTTATAATTCTAGAGAGCTCTCTCCCTCTTCTTGGTCTTAGTGCTTCATCTTGAATCCGATTTTGTTGATGTCTGGTTTTGAGATTCTTGTAAATTTGGCAGCGTTTGTCGTTG